TTACGTAGTTTATAAAAATAACATGTATGTTCCTCTACACCATTAGAATTTTATATTATACATAAAAAGGGAGTATATTATATTAATTATTATAGACACACTATTAAAATTAAACAAATACATGGATTTAAGTAAGCAATAAAATTACTTTAAATTTATATATGTTTCTAATAATGTAATACGTGATTAGACGATATAAAACCCCTTAAAATGGCGGCTGAATTGTTACATATATAATTACAGTGCGTCATACGAAATGGATGGTGGAATCGTTATAGCCAGACGTCGCGTGCTGCCCTCGGCCTCGTCTCGCCCTTTCATATTATTACTATTTCCCGAAAGTGATTTGAATATATTTAACATTATTAACATTTATTACAGTAAAATATCTTACTAATGCTGATATCTTAGTAGTTTTAAAAATTACCTAAATAGAGATGCAGTGAAATTCAACGTGAATTTTATAGGTATGATTAAAAACATTTTCGTTTAAAGTAAAAAAATTACTTTATATTTAAGTCGAACAGTACTAATAGTCCAATGAATTTAACATACTTTATCACAGGCCCTGTGGCGCAACGGATAACGCGTCTGACTACGGATCAGAAGATTCCAGGTTCGAATCCTGGCAGGGTCGAGTGAAAATTTTCTGTTTTTCATTTTTGGGAGTATTTTTTATCATTTTTGTTAATTAATTTCGTATATTTAACCTTTTTACAAATGTTTCTTAAAAAATATTGAGTTTTTTATGTACTTAAATTTATTTCTATACTAATTGCTTTAAACCCCTTAGTAATTTAAACCCCGATCACATAGAGTAACCCCAACACTACAGTCATGGTATTTTCCCATAATCCCCACCCCGGTTAGCGGAAAATCCGCAAATTATCCATTTCACTGCATAGGCAATTAAAATGACAAAAATGTCGATTTACCGAACATTAAAATAAAAAATATATACATACATACATACATGTTTTGCTATTAGCTAAACATTTTATTTCGTCTCAAATAACGTAGCGATCAACACAGCGTCACTTTAGAAAACAAACTTAAAATAGAAGTTTTAAATGAAGCTTTTCACTCCCTTTATATTTTCGAAGTGATGTTAATACGGAGAGTTGTATTCTGGAGTATAATTTGTTCTTTTCATTCGTTGAAAAGATTTATATTAAGCTTGCTGTACTAATGAATGTCGGGTGGCCGTGATTAAAGGATCTATAGAAGTTACGAACTCATTAAAAAAAGTCTTTTTAAGAAAAATATTTTAAAGTTACATTAATTCAGAATAATAATCTGTTAATAAAATAAAACGAAAATTTACCGAAATAAGTACAAGCTAATCTATTATTAATGTAATAATTATTTGTTATCAATAGGAATAACATGTTTTTTGGAACAGATCGAAATATATATACATAGAAAAAAATAAGCCAATTAAAAATGTAATTACTAGGGATATATATCTGTTCTATCGTGTAACAGAGAACAATGAGGAAATCAGTTATTTCATTACACACGATTAAAAAAATGTTGAACAAAAAGATTTTATTTTAAGACATTATTCCTTAATTTATAATTATAATTAAATTAACGCCATCTAGAGCGAGATTTGAAGAAATAATTCTTTTGTTTTTTAAGTTTTACATTCTGAAAGCTTCCTTTACGATTTATATTCCTACTATAATAGGTATGTTAAATTCTTAAACTATAAATCAAAATATTACTCTAACAAAAATATAAAGTAATGTTATTACAGAAAAAGTATATATCGGTTTAAAAAACAATTCTTTAAATATCGCCAATGCAAAAATAAAACTAGAATACAAAAAAAATACGAACCTTCTAACCTCCAAGATTCTGTTTTCTTTGCGCTAATGTTCACTATATTAAATAAATAATAAAAGGATATGTAATCACAACGTAGTTTTAGTCAGACTGAAGAACAACGACTAATATATTTATTTTACAGCAGTAATGTATATAAATAAATACAACACCACGCGATAGTATTATTGAATATAAAACCTTTTTAGTTATGATATCTCTAAAATCAAACGTGAACCCACCCTCGACGTTTGACAGCTGACTGGCGCAAAAAAATGCGTAGGACTGCGCGCATGCGCCCCTGTACCGAAATATGTACGGACTACGGAGAAGATGGGATACAGTAGGGACTTTGAAGTGATTTTGAATCTGTTGCTATAATGATTTTAATGGTTTTCAATAAGTTTTACTTACAAATTTGTGCATAGACTGCATGCTTAGAGTTAAGAAGATTCAAACGTAAAACTTTAATATTATACGTATTATATTTGACATACTATATTGCTTATGAAATTAAAATTTTGAAATATTTAGGTACATAACGTAAGTGTTGAACCAGTAACTATTTTTCCTTGAGAAATTCATATATTTCTTACAAAATATAAAATTTTTGGGAAAACATATTTCATACAACTCTTTTTATATAAATAGCCTCATTAAAATTTAAAAACCTTCTAAACTTGGTTTTATAGATATTTAGATATTTATAACTAAATATTTTTATATTTTCGTGTACATCAAATATATTACATTTCATTAGACTTTTTATTATGTTGGGCTCTTAAGGAGCACTCTTAGTCACCTTCGAGGGGAAATTAAAACACAAAGAAAACCGTTAGGAAACAAAATGTTTAATATCTTCATAATACAATGAGGCGGTTTTTTTTTTTATAAAATGGTTTTTCGTATCTGCGGAAATGTATGGCAGCATTTTTTTGAACTTATTATTTAACTTCTTATAAAAATAAAACTTCTTATAAAGATTTTCTCCTACCTAATCAAATCCTTTACCAAAAGTATTTTTCTTACATATATGATATAACGCACGAAAACCTGTTTTTTTGATAAACAAAAAAAACGAATGGATTCCAAGACAATATATTTTTCTGAGCGAAGCCTTGGTCGTAAAACTTCACACCCAAATTAATTTCAGTATCATATGGATCGCAAAAACCTACTTATATAAACATTTACATATTATACAATGTTTAAACCCTTATTAATCAAAACAGTAAAACGTAATGCTATATGAAAATAAGAGTAATAATAATTATAAATATAATCAAAGAAACACAATACCTTCATCATTTCCATACAGCAACAGTCAGCATTATAGTTTATACCGAATCAATTAAAGCTGAACAGCATTCGCACGGAAATGACAAACGTGTTGCAGCTCTTCAATACGACAGCACTTCCCGTTTATTAGCATACAATAAACGCCTAAACCCTATATTAATATGGATGGTTTTAGCATAGCAGGTCATAGTTCGTGATATTATCGTACAGACGCGTGTCATATACCATACATGACAGGTGCCACGAGCCATTGTCTTTGTAGATGCATGATTGTTTTGTAATACAAAATCAGGTCAACCACCCACTATAAAACGTTTATTGGAGGCGTGTGTCGGAGGCACATAATTAACAAGTGTAACGGAACATTTAGCCCTGTCTTTAGCAAGTTAGAAACACAATCGATAATTACAGTCAGCGAAATTAACAAAAAAAAACTAATTCTCTTTGTGCGTTCTCTAAATTTACGATTAAGAATTACGAAACAAACGTTTGGGCATATATTAACAATGAATTGGACAATTCGGCTAATTCGAATGGCGTCAAAAAACTATCTTATATAACCCTGAAGGCGCATCGATTTAATTAAAAATAACGATCGCTAATGAACGATTGTCCACAATTCTTTAAAAATGCCGCCTTATCGCAGCATCTCGTCGATTACATCCGATGTTCCAGAACCAACATACGGCTCATTCCTCAGCTTTTTGCTCGTTAAATTTCATTAGTTCATTGTTTAATTACTCTGTTATCTCGAGATCTGTACTATGATGTGAGCAAAAAATTGATTTACGGTGTAATGACGTCCTCACTATTTACGACTTCGTGAAAGCCATTATTAATTTTTAAAGCTTGAATGGCAAATTTGGATGAACGCCGCGGGACGTATGCGCTGTGATTTTGATGTACGGCATCTTTCATCGTATCATGATGACAAAATATATTTAAGCTTTGATATAGTATCTACTAACATTTAAAAAAATACACACATAAAAGGCTAATTATATAAATGGGTTAAAGGTTCCGTACTTATTGTTTGGTAATTGGAGATTCCAGTATTGTCACAGTAAATATACAAAAAAAATATATTTTTTTTATCATTCCGGACACTCTCGAGAGCTTATTAGATAATTCGGACGAACTACAACATAACATTGGGTTAAAAGGATGTCCGTTAGGGTTTTGCGATAAATAAGATGTTAGAAAACTGGAAAGAGATTGAGAATTCTAAATTCCAGTTCTAAATACCTAATTCTAAATAAAAACAGATACCTACATATATTTACATATTATGAGTAATATACAACTTCGTATCACATGAATTGAAACTCAAAAACTATTGTGTCGAATGACTTGTAAACTTTTCTAATCTTACCAATAATTATGTAGATCAGTGACAAATGAAAGTAATTTTTAAAATTCTCTATTATATATTTTGACATTATTATACTCCTACATAGTTTACTTACATTGTGATTTATATATGGCAAATAAATTTATAGTACCAATTTTGGAATAGATAAATAATAAAAAAACTTTATAATTGTTTATATATTTATCCTTAATAACTAAAGTTAATTAACATTACTATAAATATAAACTTTAACATTCACATTTGTCGTATTGTACTTCACTTTACAGACGGACAACTAATAGATACTATGATTTTCATGTCTGCCGATTTAGTTACAAAATAACAATGTTTTGAGTTTGTTACGTATTCCTAATTATATAAACAATAATCTAAGCCTTTGGTTATAATATTTTCAATAATTTTCTTTGCTACATATTTCATCTGTTTTAACTTTCAACAATAACAAATCCGCTAAAGAATTTGAAATAATTTTTTTTAACAAACATTTCTAAATTTGTGTTTTTCATCCCATAGTTGGCGCCACGTGTTGTCCGTTATGACCAGAATCATTCCACATATACCTGTAATGATTAAATATATTATTATTTGTCAATCTTTCTATATTAACAGTTTTTAAATTTTAAAATAGTTCTCGTATTATAGTTTATAAATATTATGACGGTAGATGGCGTTACTAAGTAATTTGCACCTACTCCTCAATAGATGGCGCTTAAACGGTATTCTTATGATTTATGTTATGTCTTTCTATTTTCTCTTAAAATACATCTTTATTCCATTAGACTTCACAATTTCACCACACTATTTTGAAATCACGATTCATTTAATGAATAAAAATGTTAGCAATTTCAAAATATTCCACATATTCAGAAAGATTGAAGCTATAGTTTAATAATAAAAAATATTAAAAAATATTACAATTTATGATGATAAATTAAAACAAAAATAAGTTCTAAGAATAATTATTATTTCAAATCTGAAATAATTCATTGTAAACAATAAATTTCATTTTCTCTGTCACAAAAAAAAGAAGAAATATAAAATTGTAAGACAGAATACCAACTTCAATGAAATAAGTATATACGGTAATTTAGCATTAACATGAATACAAACAGTTGATTTACCAAGAATAGAAGAAATAAATGTTTTACCAAGAATCTAAATAGTACATGACCATTCAATGAATAAGTAAAATTTTTAATATATTTGTCATATATCTCTGCTAGCCAAGCATTTTACACTTTAATGACGAAAATACTAAAAACAAATGCAATACATACTGCACCACCATACATTTTTGTCAATTACTTTACATCTTTAGTAGTTACAACTAACTAGTTCTTATTTTTCAACATATTTCCTCTAATTTTCAAACCAATTTCATGAACATAGTAAAAAGTATTAAATAACATCACAAAAAATTCACCCAAGCTGATGTATCTTGAAATTTCGAACCTACACCACAGTATAAAAATACTATTGACCAACTGGAAAATTGTAGTTTTAAAGTCATCTGTGGCCTTTGTGGTTTACAAACACTATCAGCTTTTGTCATAACAAATGTTCAACTTTTTAGTTGAATTTTATGTATATGATGTCACAGACCTCTCGTAACAGTGTAGCAACTCGAAGCAGACCTCAGCCAGGATGAGGGCTATCACCATCCACTCAAGACGCACGTGGTGACGATCAGCTGCCCAGCTTGATAACAGTTCCAATAACTCCACACAATGGGAAAGACGCTCGTTCAACACCTGGAAACATTATTAACTTAGGAACAAAACTTAAATAACTACTTATATACTAGTACTAGTAGATATTAAAGTATGACAATTTTATAGCATGGGGTTGATTGTCGATGAGACGAAACTTCTCAGCATTCCATGGATTCACCGTGCGGGTGCCGGGTCCATCGCGTTGCAGGGAGAGGAGCTTCAACAGTGCCTGGGACTTGCGACCCAGGTGTAGGTTTAAGGGGCCCCTTAACTAACGCGCGTTATACGCTCACCTGCACTGTCCAAGCTCCTTTCCCTACCTAACCAAATTTGAAAGGAACCTACTAGGGCTGCCTTCGATGTACGTTCCAAGAATGCATTAATGTGAGTTCTGGACAAGCCCATGTCTTTTAGTAGGTTGTAGAGAGATTTCGCTGTTATGCCTCTCGCTCTCACCTCTACCGCGTACAAATCTACGGCGAACCTATTTCGAGTGAGTTCGTTAGTGAGCTCGTAATATTTGTTGACCTTGATGGTATGGTCTGTGGGGATGTTGGTTTCCCAAGGAACCGTAAGCTCTATCATCACTACGCGCTTTAAAATAAATAATAAATAAGTCTGTGTATAGTATGATATGAATCTGAAAAAGAGTGATCATATTAGGGTGAGAATAGTATTTTTTTTGATACCTTCTCTCATGATTGCCTATATTTGCATCATACAAATCCATCTTATCAAATTGTCAGTAAATAGACATACATATTTTTTACATTTTTCCATCTTTTTGATGAACTGAAGTTACTAGCAGTTGAGATTAATATGTCTCTCAACAGTGGCGGCTGGTGGGTTATCGAACTGGTGGTGCACTTTAATAAAATATTAAAATTAGAAAATGCAACAAAAAACCAATTGACATAAAATATGTTTATTTTTTAAATATAAAATCAATGTTACGACATTTCTGAAGCGAAATGTTCAATCACCTTCTTATTAAAATCGAGTATTGTTTATATAATTGTTTTTTTCAATACTAAGCATAGAAAGTACAGTTAGCAAGTGCATGGTATTTCGGAGAAAAGTTTTGATTCTATTCAATTCCAATTCGTCATACATCGGGTGCTCTCGGTACATTTCTATGAACTATCTTTTGTTTCACGCGTCAGGCGTATTAATGCGTGTCTCATACAAGATGCATTAGGAGTCCTCGTGCACTCGCCGAAGCGCACGAGATATTAGTTTAGTAAAGCGCACAAACTTTTTGACTATAATTAGAAATTTAATTATTTATACGTTTTTGTATGTTTAGAAAATAAATATTAAAATGGTATATTTTAAAAATAAAGATGAAGTATTATTTTGTAATTTTTAAATCTTTTGAATTGGTGGTTCAGCGCACGAGTGCACTTAAGGTACAGCCGGCACTGTCTCTCAATTGACTTGTCTTTTAAAATATTATAATATATGGAAATAATTTCAAAAAACATATATTATATTTATTTAATTGTTTGGTTAGGGAAATTCTTAAATTCCCAGATATTTATCATAGTTTGTGTTAATTAATTTTATACTAACCCGTGTACGCCTTGGTATGGTGAAGTATGCGACCGTGTGTGAGTAGAGTCGCTCGAGCCTTTCCTCCTCCCAGTAGAAATCCGGTGTATCTAACAGATCTGACTCCAAGCACAGCTGGTGACGAAGAGAGAATAGTTCACCCAGCTTACGAACCACCTGTATACATATAATTATATAATAAACCATTTATTGGTTATTAGCTTTCCGCCCGCAGATCGCCCGCGTGAAGTTCGGTTATATCGCGTTTCCAAGAGAACCTTTCAAAAGTCTGGGATAAAAACTATCCTATGTTCTTTCTCAAGGTCAACTCTATCTCTGTACCAAATTTCATTAAAATCAGTTCAGTGGTTTAGGTGTGAAAGCGTAACAGACAGACAGACAGACAGACAGACAAACAGACAAAGTTACTTTCGCATTAATAATATTAGTAGGGATAATATATTACAATATTCAGTATCTAACAACACAAATTGTATTGATGAGGTATAAAAATGTATGAAAAAAGAACTGAATATGTTCAACATATGACAAATCAAAATGGGTTAAAGGTTGAGCATTACAATTCATTTCTATAGACTGTACCCACCACTTTCTTGTCAACATGTGCAGCTCCGTCCCTTTCCATGTGCATAGAAAGTGCTCTCACATCAGCAGCGAGTGCTTCAAGACGAGCCTCCCACGCACCAAGCCGAGCTGACTGTGCCATAGCATGACTGATAGTAAAATATTATTTTATATCACACCACATACCCAACCCCTTCAAAACATACAATTCCTCAACAAATATAATACTTTATTATTAATTATAGATGGTTATGCTGACCATATTAAAAAAGGAACAGTTCAAATGCTATAAATGTATTTTAATATGGAAATAGCTCTTTTACAATAATTGGAATCCCTTAATAAGTTTATATATATGATGTAACTACCCACTTGTAAATTGAATGCATTGAATGAGTAAAACAACTTGTTATGTAATTATATCTTGAGAACGACATTTTATATTGCTTGAATTTTTTGTTTCCATGTAAGTGACTTTGTGTCTTTTTGGAAAATAAAAATCTCTAAACCTATGTAATGTTACCTGAAAGTATATCTTTCCAATGAGTTATCTGAGTTTTGAACAAGCACGAAACAGTTTGAAGATTCATGTAGAGAACATCGCTTGCTGAAAAGAAATGTATGTGAGGAAATAAATGTAGTGCCCTAATTTTTTTATGTAAGAAACATTAGTCAAATAATAAAAATTGCTTACACATTTACTTGGTACTCATAAGTCATCACTTCTCTTTCCTTGTTGACTACTTCATTTGGATAGCTCCCCATTTCAAAACTATAAAACAGTCAAAAAGTTTATATGAAATTACCGAAGGTCTATTTGATTGTAGGAGTCATCTTTCATTTGAGGCTATTCATAAAATTTGTTACCTACATATTTTATAACGCATTTTTTTGAAGTTTTATTTAAATAAAAATGAGTAGGATGAAATGAAGTCTTATTCTTAATACATAAATTTTTTATTACATAATCAATTTGTTGCAGAGCATGCAATAATAAAAAACATATTTATTTTTCTCTTATTATATTGTTATTTAAAATTTTATGGTTGTGGCATTAATATACTTACGGCCTGATAAAATCAAGAACATTATTAGCTTCAAGCTCTGTACAATTCCAAAATACGACAGCACCTTCCCGGAAGAATATGATCTCACGCGGTTCATGTCCTATAGAGTAAACGGCTCGGGCGACCACCACATCACCGAGGTCTTGGGCTTTTAGACTGAAAACAAAACATGTTTATTTCTATGTACCTTAGAATAAAATTTATTAGCACCTCAATAACTTTATAAAGTATATTTTAAATGCAAACCGCTTATTATATTACGTCATACTTTTAAAATATATAATGACTAAGGAAAACTCACGTTTCTGGTTCATACAACTTCTGGTTAACCAGTCCTTCTCTCAAAGCTTTCAAGTCGTAATTATTTGCTGTGGCGTATGCTAAAGTTAAGTAATGGCCTTCTTTATGCGATACATCTTCAAGTAATGTTTTTTTGTGGACAGTTTTCTTTTTTAATGGCAGACTCGTATTGTCCAAAGCCATAGACGTTGGTAGTATGGTATCATTAGAATAGTTTCGAGAAACTTGTTGTCTTATACGAAAAATATCATTATTATTAAAAAGAAATTTTGTTTTCACTGGTACAAAATCGCCAAGTGTATTACAAATAACTGTTCTTGCAGATATACACCTCAAGGATGACGTAACAATTTTTGTTATAAACACACTCATACCGAAATTATATTATCGTCATATAAAAATAAGTCATTAATAGTTTAAATGATTTCCTACTTCTTAGTTGAGGTTATAGTTAGATCGCAAATGTATTTTTATTTTGAAATTTGACAAATTGACATAGACAACATGACTGCTTCCACAGACTATCTAAGTGACTTGACAGATTCAAAATATTTTGTTTTATAGCATACAGCTTTAACCAAGTTTAATGTACAATTAAAGGAATCTAAGTTTTTGATAATTTAAATCCAAGTTTTTTATAAAAAAAAGTTTTAAATTGCATTTTAGTCCCTACTAATATTAAATACGAAAGTAACTCTGTCTGTCTGTTACGCTTTCAAGCCTAAACCACAGAACTGATTTTAAAGAAATTTGGTACAGACAGAGTTGAACTTGAGAAAGAACATAGGATAGTAATTATTATCCCAGACTTGAAAGGTTCTCTTGGAAACTTGATATAACCGAACTCCGCTCCGGCAAAGCTGCGGGCGGAAAGTTAGTAATATAAATAATAATATAAGATTTTTGTTACTACCCCTGAATAGTATCCATGATTCTGAAAGTATATTCGAAAAGCGGTTTTATTCCATTGACTTTTCTCAATTTTGGTAATTTATGGTTTCCTGAGATTTTACAATAAATATTTGAGACTAGTATAAATTGAAAAATTTTGAAATTTGGATTTTGTCTGATAAAACAATATTGAAATTAACGCTAGGTTACTTCATTAATCGATGTTCCATACCTTTTAGCCTAAAAAAAATGACGGCAAAAACAAAACAAATATTAAATAATAATAATTTATTACCATGTTATTAATTATACTTGATACAGTTACATTTACATAATATTCACATATAATATAAGATTAAATTCGACTTCTTATTGACAATTTCATAATAGTCCGAGAGACAGGTGCAAATGTGGTTAATTATTTCTTCTCGTTAGATAATTGGCGATACGCATCAGACAACAGTATCATAAAGCCCTATGACCGTCAGCTGCGGCGCAGTGGGGGGATGAGTAGTTGTAACCTCCCAATTCCCCACACTCAATAAGAACCAGTACGGGTTCCTACCACAGCGCAGCTCTGAAGACGCTCTCTACAACCTAGTCCAAATCATCAAGGACCGTGTCACAGCCAAGAAAATTGTGCTGGTAGTATCCTTGGATATCGAGGGTGCCTTCGATAACGCGTGGTGGCCAGCCCTAAAACACCAACTGGTCAAGAAAAATTGCCCAAGAAACATCTATGGCATGGTAGGTTCATATCTGGAAAACCGCAAAGTCGTCGTAAACTACGCCAGAGCAACGAGTGAGAAGAACACGTCCAAGGGTTGCGTACAAGGATCCATCGGAGGCCCGACCTTCTGGAACGTCATACTAGAGTCGCTCCTGCAGACCCTGAGCGATGAAGGAATTAGTTGCCAGGCATTCGCAGACAGATTCCATCATACAGCTGGAAGATTCCGCCACCAGGACATTGCAGACAATAGTGGAATGGGGACAGTAAAACAAGTTAAACTTCGCGCCGCACAAGACTTTCGCAATGATGGTGACGAAGAAACTGAAGCTCGACAACCCCGTAATCTACATAGCAGGCAAGGAAATCGCCCTAGTGGAGGAAATCAAAGTCCTGGGCCTCATCATCGACAACAAACTGACCTTTGCCAAACACATAGCATTAACATGCAAGAAAGCAGCTGGCATATACAAACAGTTAGCCTGCGCGGCCAAGGTCACATGGGGCCTAAATCAAGAAATAATCAGGCCAATCTACACAGCGGTTATAGAACTTATAGTGACATATGCGGGAAGTGCATGGGCACCAGCAACAGAATTGAAGAAAATCCAAGACGTATTAAACTCCACACAGCGAGGATTCGCTCTAAAGATATGCAAGGCATACCGAACGGTCTCGTTAACATCGGCGCTAATTCTAGCAGGAATATTGCCATTAGACCTTCGGATACAGGAATTGTTCAACCTCTACAGAACCAAGAAGGGACACACAAAGGATTATCTACCACCTGGCAGGGAACTAGAGACAAAGGTGAGTTATCTAAACTACTCTCACCCGGCTCAACTAACATCCATTGAGTACGAGCTCCTGAAAAACATGGATCCCGAAACCATAGAGTCAGACCAAATAGAAGGACCCCAGATATACACCGACGGCAGTAAAATAGAAGGTAAAACTGGGGCCGCCGTAACATGGTGGGAAGGAGATAGGGAAATCATGTACTCAAAACTCAGTCTAGATCCATCCTGTACAATGTTCCAGTCAGAGCTCTATGCCCTACACAGAGCGATAAAGATGGTGAAGAACAGCACCTCACCATCAATCAACGTCCTTAGTGACTCAAGATCCTCGCTGGATCTTCTAAAATCAGCCAAAGAAATCTTGCCCCTACAGAAACAAATCAAAGATGACATCCTAGAAAAGACAACAGCCGGACGAAAAATCAGATTCTTCTGGCTACGAGCACATGCAGGTACATTGAGAAATGAGAGAGCAGATGAACTGGATAAATCAGCAGCCCTTCTAGAAACCCAGGTTACCAGCTAATCCCCCTGTCCTACGCCAAGAGGAAGATCCGAGAAGAAAGCCTCAAAAGATGGCAACAGCGATATAGCAGTTCACCAACATGCACGTTCACAAGAATGTTCCTCCTCGACGTCGACTCAATATACATAATGGTGAGGAGCACTAAACTAACACCAATACACGTGCAAATGCTGACGGGTCACGGAGGCATAGCTCAATACCTGCATAGATTCAGGCTAACAAGAAGTCCGGGATGTGAGTGTGACCCCACCGTAACCGAGACGGTGTGTCACTTACTCCTTAACTGCCAAAGATATCAAAGAGCCAGAAGAGATCTAGAGAACTTAATCAACACCACTGTGGACATGGAGATCTTACCAAAACTACTCTGTGACAAGAAGACTAGGATACCGTTCCTCGCATACGCTGACAAGATTTTACGGGCAGCCGCAAAAAGATATAACAACGCGGACCGGCATAGAGCAGCTGAAGAACAGATCATCATCTCCTGTATAGACCCAACCCCTAGCTCCCGGCATATAGAACCGCCCACCCAAGTTGGTATGCCTAGACAAAAAATCGAAAGCATATTGTAGCAACCAATTTAATATATAAAAATTATATAACCTTTTTAGAAACAAGTATACTGGCAGCTAAATTTAAGACGACATATAATTATTAAAAAGAAGAAAACAATTTTTTATAGAATGATATAGAAAAACTAGAGTTGTCATTGGAGGCCGAAATTGTAAAACTAAAAAATTGTAAAACATTTATATATATTAACATAATATATATTCGTAAGTGGTATTTATGTACATAACGAAAATACCACTTCATTGGTGACCCCTTTCCGACGTTATCGACAATCCCGACGATTCCGACGTGCGTCCCGAATTTAAACAAAATTTTGAAGACCGAATCCAACCATGACGGAGAAAAATACTACATGACGTACCGAGTAGGAGTCAGAAGCCCACCATTCAACGCCGAGGATCCGCAGTTATGGTTCGCGCAGCTTGAGGGACAGTTTGTTCTGTCTAATATAACCACGGACAATACTAAATATTACTACGTATTGGCTCAGCTAGAACCCCAACACTCAGCAGAGGTGCGCGACCTCATTATTAATCCTCCCACCCTTGGCAGGCATGAAAAATTAAAGACGGAACTGATCAAGCGGTTGTCCGCGTCCCAGGACCGAAAGATCAAACAGTTGCTCATGCACGAGGAGTTGGGAGATAGGAAGCCCACACAGTTTCTTCGGCATCTGCTGCAGCTAGCTGGCCCATCAGTCCCGGTCGATTTCATCAGGTCGATCTGGTCAAGCAGGTTACCAGAAAATCTGCAAACCAATGTAGCTATGCAAGCTAGTTCGAGCTTAGACGAGGTAGCGGAGTTAGTGAATAAAGTCAACGACATCGTTCCAGTTACCAGGCAAGTTGCTTCTACTGACACGCAAGTACTTGGGCAAGTAGCAAGTTCAGTACAAACGAGCAAGCCATCTACGAACGATCCGCAAGGCAGCGCTATGGAAGCTTTAACGAAGACTGTAGCTGAGCTATCACGAATGCTGGAGGCTATGAGCGTGTAATTACTTCATAGACCATCACGTTCCCAGTCAAGAGGCAGGTACGGACAATCGCGTTACCGATCGCAATCACGCATTAAAGACAACAAATATTGCTTCTACCACAACCGATTCGGCGACAATGCACGAAAATGTACTCAACCTTGCGCCTACAAAGAGAAGAATTTAAACTTCAAAGGCAGCCAGTAAAGGCGGAGTACGACTGCCATGATATTTCAAGCCGCCTGTTCATTACGGACCAGAAAACGAAGACGCAATTTCTGATAGATATGGGTTCGGACCTGTGTATCAATGGGAGAGAGTGGGATCCCGGGACTAAGAACGAAGAGCGTGGCCCTATACATGGACACCTCCTATGAAAAACTGGGTATCAGCTTCTGCTCGAACACCGGACCGAACAGCGTATCTATTGCACCGGGACTGGCTTCAATCAAAAGGCAACTCTAGGAGAACCGCCATGAGGAGGAAGAAACTGGAAGCAATAAGTGAAGTGGACGTCAAAAACCACAAATACAACGTCTTGCACGTCAAGAACAAAACCCCCACTGCCACCCCCGCTACAGGTTATCCATCAAGCCTAACTAGCCCCGGGAAACCACCAGGCTCAGAGCTTCAACAACGGAAATTCCAGGAAAAGAGCATTCAGAAATACCCCAAAGCCAAAAATCTTCGGCCGGGTGCACCATAGCCTCGATCCTTCAAAAGTTAACGCACGAAGCTCGAAGTAAACCATCAATCGAGTCGGCAATTCACGGAGCGCCTACAACAGTCTACAAAAACTCACCACACAGTGCGCTAACAAGAAGAACTAAAGCTGCAATGGGAGTAGTTCAGCCTCCTGAATATAGGAAGATCGTCGAACCAAGAGACCACCTTATAAATGCGTTCCTTGAGTATATTTCAATAATAAAAGGACAAAAAGCGGAAAAGACCAACAGATGCCGCAAAATCCTAGAGACGTTCCACCTAGGAAACGAAGGTTTGTTGAAAGTATTACTCGAGGAAGCCGAAGCGACGGGGGCAGTTTCTGGTACTGCCACCGGGCGCGTCCCCAGGTGGCGGATAGGGGAACGGCTCACAGATATGGGTGTTACCGGCTTGCCGGCGCGGACGAAAACCAGTGACGACTCGGCTTGCTGCGTCGTCAAACTCGTAACCGCCATCGGGCGAGGGCGGGAGTCACGTGGAAGAAAACCACTCTAAAAAATCACCTCTGGCGTCGGGAAGTGACGAATCCATCGCCCGTCGGGTAACCGACGCAGTCAGTCACGGGGAGGGGGACTTGGCCCTCTATTGGGGTCTTGGTCAGGGCTGGGGGTTCAGCCCGATGAATGGAAGGTTTTGTGAATGTGGATGGATGCGGAAATGGAAGGTTTGTGAATATGGATGGATGGATGGACTTTTACGACCCCTAATCTTTGGCTTCGGTATTCGGTCTTGAGATGTGTAGTGTATGTAGATTCCTTTATATGTTGTTCTGTCGTCTCACGCGTACACGCCGCACGCTGAAGTATGGCGGGGAGCGGGGCACGCTACCCTCCCTCAAGCAGTCAGTAGGGAACTGCGGAGCGAGACGGACGCGCGTGCGGCGGGTAAGGCGAGTGAGCCGATATTGTAAGATAAGTGCACAAATAGTACATTTTGGCGACGAATATTGGTAGTACTGTATTTTGGGAGTACTGGAGGTATTGGGAGTATTGAACAGGAGGGCTCTTTTGGCTCTTTGAGGGTTGACACTGCTGATATATCTGATTTGTTCTATTATAAGGTAAACGATAGAGCACTTGTATTTGCCGATGCAAGTCCGGTAGCTTAGGTGCTATTCTAGTATGTCCAAGACATAATCGGGCATGTTAAACCCATAGCGGTATCGGTGAGAGATATTAAGCGATATTCTACTGAAGACCTAGAAATTCAAAAAGTCAAAGAAAGTATTCCCGAAGAGAGTTGATGTCAGGCAGGCGGCCGGTCGGAAAGAAAATTAGCCAAAACTATTCACAACGTGTAAGGCAGACCCTGGCTAAAATCTGGAAATTGCCAGGTAGAAGAAATAAGGTGTTCATGAACGCAAGTGGGATTCAACTGTAAAATGTTACAAGCTGTTTGGAAATGAACTCTACTTTCACGAAGGAATTCTACTCAGAGGAACTAAAATTGTTATACCAAAAGTATGGCGGAACAGAGTACTATCAGCGACACCCAGGCATCGTGGCAATGAAAGCGAGGCTCGGAACAAAAGTGTGGTAGTCTAGATGCGACAAAGATCTGGAGAGGATGGTTAAATCATGTAAAGGATGCACACTCTTGCAGATGCAGGATGTATCTAATGCACCACATCTTTCAAGTGAAGAGAATAATTACCATCACACCTGAGGGAAGTTTTCAGCAGGCTCAATTTAAGTCACTTTGTAAGAAAAATGACATAAAATTATATTAGCCTGTTCCGTACTGGCCGCAACAAAATGGAGAAGTCGAGCGCCAGGACAGAAGTACATATACTGAAACTACTACGATTATGTCAGGCTGAAAACAAAATCCACTGGAAAGAATCGTTGGTTGATTATCTGACTTTGTACAATAATACCCCCCATACAGTCACAGGGAAAACACCAGCGGAATTGTTTTTCCAGAGGAAAATTAGGGATAAAATACCAATGATCGATGACGTTGAGCATAGGAATGAAGACATGGACGTACGAGACAAGGACTGAGAACAGAAGGAAAGAGGGAGAGAGTACGCGGGCAGAGAAGATATTGACTTAGAACCAGATGTATACTTCCTATACATCAAAGATATGAACAAAGCCAATAAACTTAGTACAAATTTTGAACCGACACAATATACAGTTAAATCACGAATAGGAGGCGACGTTGAAGTAGAAAACAAGGAAACAGGACAATGTCTGAGACGAAATATAGTACACCTAAAAAAGGTAGAAGGAGAATGGAAAGTTATAAGTGCGGACGAACCAGAAAGTCCAGGAAGAGAAGAAGAGGAGTAGACGAGTTATAGTTTATAGTTTTAAATATGATGTTTGGGAAGCTTAGAAGCAGGATGTTAGTTATAGTTGATTAAATTGTAATTAGAGAAGCGAAGGAAGTTAAGAACAAGAAAAAGCGAAGTGTCATGAGGTTAAATGTTGATAATAAAAGATTAATTGGGAAGTGAAGGAAGTATTAAATCAATTTAGTTATTACAAGGTGTTGTTAAAACTAGAATATTGGGAAGATCATTGATGCTATTAATGTTATGTTAAATCGTAAATGATACTTGATTTCAATATTTGAATAGTAAATGGAAATTAGGGATGTCAATTAAAATGTAGAAGATTGTTATGATGCTCTGATGAAGATGTTTCTACATACAATAAAAGTTATTATAATATTTAAGTGTTTCTTTAAAATAAGGAAGGGATGTAGTGTATATAAATTCCTTTATATATTGTTCTGTCGTCTCACGCGTACACGCCGCACGTTGCTCCCTCAAGCAGTTAGTAGGGAACTGCGGAGCGAGACGGACGCGCGTGCGGCGGGTAAGGCGAGTGAGCCGATATTGTAAGATAAGTGCACAAATAGTACAGGATGCATGGCGAGCGGGTGAGCTGGTCCTAAGAACACCACCCACAAACAAATATGAAAATGGCGTCTTGTGAAAATAAACTACCCCAGGAGGGTCCCAGCCACCACGTGGTTGGGGAATCCCTCACCGGTACGCCGTTCAGCCCCTCGTATTCTGGGGGGGGGGGGGGGGGGGGGGGGGGGGGGGGGGGGGGCAGCAAACGCCTGGAGGGTCCTTCTTCAAAGGGCCCTCTGAGACGAGGTGCAGTGGGCACGGACGACTTTGACAAGAAACATGGTCACGATCAGCTTTTCGATAGGGTTCCTGTCGTGAGACTCGAGAGGAACAAAACCAACGACTTTGGCAATGTTTCATCGGACACCGATCAGCAAAACGTTTGGACGGCGAGTGATGGGTCACGGGCGAAGTCGCCCGTGAAGCACGGCAAACGCGGTGCTTCAAGTGCCAGGAGGTGGGTCACACGCGGGCGACTTTTTAAGCTAACATGGCTAATAATATCAGAAAATGTCAACATTTGCATGGAAGTTGGAGTTGGAAAAATCCAGAGATTTATTAATGTTACTCAATTATACGAATCTTTGGGATCTGATTTGAGCGCAGTACTTCCAGCATTTCACGCATTCACAGGGTGTGATTTTAACCCGGCCTTTTTTCGAAAAGGAAAAAAACGAAAATTTTCAATGATACCTAAATCGAATGATTTCATCCAAATGTCAAAATCATTAGAGGATAGAGACAATATTTTTAAAAAAAATTCAGGAATTCGTTTGCCAAATGTATGGATTTAATCGCCTCAAGTCACTCAACTCAGGTCAATGAGGCAAGAGTAGCGTTGTTTGAAAAAACATATAAATTCTTGGATACGGAGACATTGAAGTTACGAAAGAAAAGTATTGATGGATCTTCTCTACCACCTTGCGAGTCAGAGCTCGCAATTTTTAAGAGCATGCTATATTGCTCAAATTTGGTCAAATGCACACTTGAAGATTCCAACTTCTGATGATCCGGAAGACTATGGTTAGGGAGAAATTGACAATAAATATGAGTTTACCTGGTTCTTTGGAAGTCAGTTACCAATATCGATTGATGAAATACCTATACAGCCCGAAAAAGGTAACATTTTATTATCACATTAATGATATTATGCTAAAATACGCATTCTAATTTTTTTTTACAGATGATGACGATGAAAATATAACAACAGACAGCTCTGACAGTGACTCGGACAACGAATCAGAGAGAGATGGTTGTGACTCAAGCCAAAGCGAAGCCGAAAATGATTATATAACATTGTCATTTGAATTGTAATTTGTCATAATTTTTTTATAATAAATATTTTTTATCAAGTAACTAGTTAATTTATACTAAGCAAATTGATTATTGAAATATATCTAAAATTAAATGATTATATACTTTAGACTTAAATTATATGTTTATATACTTTAGACTTCCTAAAAAATATTAATATGGAATGTATGTTTCACCTCAACACTGATATTGGAGTGCTATGCCGAATAATTAAAAGACGTCATTTCCTCCCACACGAAAATTTGTGAGCTAATTTTAAATATAATACTGTAATAAATAAAAAAAATCAGCTAGCAATAAGTCGAGGGACACCTGGTCAGCTGATGCCTTTCAATAGTCAGTAAATGCTTCTGGCTAACTTCTACGTAACGACCTTCAAAGTATCATCTGACGATTTTTCCACCGAGATACACCCAGCTGATGTATATATTTATCAATAGTTACATAATATAAGCTATCATCTCGTAAATTTTTTGCCGAGAGGATATCACTGAAAGTGAAGATTTTTTTCCCATGATCTAGCCATCAGCTGACGTACAATGCACTATGTTATAGCCAGCTGACTTTTTTTTTATTGAGGTATTGGGTTAGCTATAACTTGAAAAACTTTTAGCCGAGAGGAAATGATTGAATTTTTTTTTCTTCAAGAGTGGGAGGTTACAACTGCTCATCCCCCCCACAGAGCCTCAGCTGACATTCACGTGGATTTATAGTTCGATTTTCTGATGCGTTTTACTAATTATCACATGAGAGGAACTTGGTCATATAAATCTGTTATTGGCTCTCGGACTATAATTACTCTCCGTGAAAAAAATACGGAGATTCCGGTAATAGTGCGCCGGATAAGTGATTATATAAAAAGTTATTAATTACGAGATCAAACAACATCGATAAGTATATACTCAGTACGTCACTTAATATTATATTCGACATCTAACTGACTACGACGGTAGGATCCTCCGAAGCAAGAAGAGTCATAAGTCTCTCCGCCATCTCTGGACCAAGCTTTTTAACGCGTGATCCTGTGAGTATCGTCCTGGGCGCGTTGACATTAGCAATCGACTTCAGGCCCGCCGTGGTAAAAACAGCCTGCAAGAAATATTACTATAAAAGCCTCTTTTTAAGAGCAGTCCTACCGGCCTTGGTGGGGCCAGAAGGAATGTGTGAGGCTCGGCCTGGGCAGGCCCCTACTCAGTAAAACCACTGCGAAAGCCATCGGCCGCTATGTCGGTGTGCCCCGGATCTGTCAGCTATAGGGCACATTACTATTAAAGCCTAGCTTTGTATACCGAGTTATTAATGAAATATAATAAAGGCTAAGAATAATTTGTTTATAGATATCATTATAAACTTGAAAGTAAAAATGCTCATCTTGACATTTATAAATTCTTTAAACATAAATTGTAAATAAGCATCCTTCCAGTAATAGAACATATAACTTGAACGGCTATCTCGGAGATAATGTAATTCATCATAATTTTTATCATTTATAACTAATAAACAAAATAATTGTTCAATTATAGCAATGATACCTCGTATAAGGTCCTAAGAGTTTTGAATTTGGTACACAAAGCCCTAGCCGTTTCCAAAGTTGTAAGAGGCAGGACTGATAGCATCTGCTGCCATAGACGAGCGAGACCGACACCTGAAATATATGATGATTATGTATTTATTTATAATACACACAATTATATATTAAGGAACAGAATATACCTTATGTTGGCTGGATCAACATTTCTGTATAATTTAGATGAATCAAAGCTACAGTACAAACTTACACACACAAAACATTATTCTCTATGTTATAAATTTAGTTGAAATACTGGTCATAGTCTGACTATGTGGGAAATCAGAAATTATTGTTGAATAAATATTTCTTGTTCCTTTAAAATAAAATATTTAACCATATTTGGATATTATAGTTTTTAAGGAAACTCTTTAACTCCACATAGATATTAAATATAATTGTATATAACATACCATCTTCATCAACTGGAACACATCTCTTTTTAAATCCATTCATGAAGAACTCTGCATTCTCACTAATAGCATTTGTAGGTTCATATCTAAAAACAATAAAATATAACTCTTTACTTAATTTACTTTTCAAAGTTTAAATTTATTTGAACATAGAATAATCAAAATACCCATTTAAATTACACCATATATTTTTGAATATTTGAAGATTCTTTCTCAGATTAAAATAATATAGATTAGAACAAGAGCCCACAATGACCAGAGCTTGAGTGTTTTATCAAAGTTGCAACTTTCTCTGTTTACATTTCCTATACAGGTAAGAACTATCAGCAACAATAGTCTAGATTGTAGTTACTTAGGCAAGTAATATGTAATAAAGGTATATTAAATAGAACCTTACTCTTGGCTCTTGGGCTAGATGTGTTTAAGAAATTAATTGAATTTACTTTAAAAGATAGAATTCACAATGGAATCCATGACCTACTCACTTGTAATGAGATATAAAACCTTTGTTGCACTGAAGTACCGTCTGCACCAACTCACTTGGTTCATCAATAATCAAGGCATCACATTTGGTGTCAATTAATAAATCTGGAATTTAGAAAGAAGACACTTTGTATTTATTTTGAAAAATTTAAATTTCTGTATTTAATAATTATGTACCAAAAGTAAAAGACAAAATCGCAAAGCGAAAATATTTCTTAGTAAAATTTTCCTTTTCGTAAGAATTTATGTTAATGACATAATTTCTTTTAGCCAGATAACAAATTTGTACCTCCTATGACTGTCTCAATATCAAAGTCTGTTACTACAGGATACCTTTTGCAAGCAGTTCTGGAATATTTTAAATATAGTTAAATAAACATTAAAAATTAAAAGTGACAAATAAACATGATATAAGATGCATAAAATGCTAGTGACACAAACATGAAACATGTTTATGAAAATGATATTTACCTAAAATATTCTTTATATCCAAACAACACAACGGTCAGTTTGCAGCAGGCGATAGCTGTTAGTGACTTGATATGATTGATGAACACTTTATCTCTGACCCGAGGTGCGGCAAAGGCCATCTCACAGATATACAGTCCATGGGGACAGCGGACCTCGGGGGGAGTTAGCTCCACCTGAGAGAGTTACAATGGTACTTGATGTGCCCTGGTAATATGTACTAAAGTGTTAATTTAGACTATAAAACCAAAGTTCAATCAATTTCAAACTTGATTTCAATTGGCTAAACCTATTTACAGTTTATAACACATGGTTGTCAATTAATTTTGAACAAACATGATCTGATGTCTATATAAACATAATAGTAAACTACCCCACCTTTCCTTGTACACTAACAAGTGTACTCTCCTCTGCCTTGCTCCACAACAGAAGTCCCGTCCCTTCTAAAAAGGAGTCGGGTCTTACTTTAATCCTCGCTGCTTCTGCCTCACTATCCAGACTGGCTAAATACCATTTGTCCTTGAGCTGAGGATCCATATCAACGAACAGCTGTCAAAGATATTATAAAATTTATTATCTTGACCAAAGTGGTGCAATAATATAGAAAATTCCTCTTCATATAATAAACAAGTAGTATAATCACAACTCCATTACTCCTAATAGTTTTTAAACTATTTTTTTGAATAAATAGATTGATCTTCATTAATAATTATAAATACAAACACATAAAGGTTCTTTGAAGCTATTAAAAAACATAACCTAAATGCACAACTTCATATTGTTGTTAGTTGTATGTAGGTTTGCTATTATAAGTTATGAGCTGATTATGTGTATAGAAGGAAGTAGATTAGCTCAGTGAAAAATAATTCAGACGGTTCAACTATATTCACAGGTCTTGTTCCCACAACTCTTGGGAGGCAAAGGTCACAAAATAGACAATAAAACTATTTGACAAAAATAAACAAAAAATTTCATACATTCAATGGCCCCTTCCTGAGTTTGAGCTCGGTGATCACCAGATATTTACTGATATGTGCATCCTAAGAACAAACAGATCTACTTTAGCTCTTTTTACTTACAATTCTTATTTCAATGTATACATGTATTGAAGAAATACATAAACAATATGTGAAAACTTTAGAGATATGAATTTATTAAAGATAAGCAGTTATGGTGGAGCTATAAAAGGTTGGCGGAGCTATATCCTACCAATGATAAACAGATCTCAATCAAGACATATTATATGTATTAATTTAGTAATAAACATATTTTTTTTGACATGTACTTCTAAAATATCATTGTGTTAAATCAATATGATCCAACTCACCTCTAAAGGGTCCAATCTAATAGGTTCGTAAGCGTCATCTTCTGTATCGGGCTTCTAAAATATAGTGTACATTCATTTACTTATTTACATTCCATTTATTTTAGAAAATATTTAATTTTGAGTCAACTAATACATCAATTTATTACAAATATAGCAATAGAAAATGTACAAACCGGTTTTTTCTTTTTTAATATCTCTTTCTCTTTGACAGGTTGTGGTGGTTTTGGTTTTTTCTTTAGAATTGAAATCGGAAGAAGTGGAGGGATGGGCTTTTTTGAAGGCCCTGCGATGGGGCCAGAATTGTCTAAAATTAAGAATCTTGATTAATAAGACATGTACAAATACCACAATTTATATTTTAAGAATAAATGAAATATTAAGTTTAGGATATGACTATCAAATCAATATTTGTAGCCTCACCTTTAATGTTCGAAAGAGATCGTTTACTTGAACGGAGAACTCGAGTTGTAAACTCTTCTTTCTTGGAAACTTTTGGTGGTTCTGGTTCAGGATCTGAATCCGAGTCGATGACTAAGAACAAAAATATATAAATTATTTTATGATTATAATTGACAAAAATATGTATATAAATACAATACTATCACCTATAACTTCTGGCACACACTTTGATGTTGAAGGTCTAGAAAACAAGTTCGGTGGTGGTGAAATGTGGATGTCCTCATCTGAAGACATTTTTGAGTTATATGTTCAGCCTTTTAAAGTTTAAAACTAATTTTTATATTACTCTATTTAAGCAAGTTGTTACATCTATAATATAACGATACTTTTAATTCAAATAAATAATAGTAATAAACATCTTTGTGCCTTAAACACTATTTAAATTTGACATTGACTTTACCGATACAGTTTAGTAATTCACAATGAAAATACGTATAAAATAATTCGTAAAAACAAACATATGAATATAATAATAAAACTCTTGTTATTAATTCTGATAGCATTTAATATCAATATTAATACTTTTTTTCAGGTTCGAAACATATATAAATAAAATTTGGAAGAAATATGTTGTTTACAAATAACGATTCAAAAACCTTGTTATAATCACATTTATTGATTGTTAAAAAATAAATCTTAAAAGTCTTATTCACATTTATTTAAAAGTCTTAACTCTTCAATTCATCAATAACTCATTTTGAGAAGCACAATAAATTATTATTAAAAAAATAGTAGACAAAAATAATCTAAAAAAGAACTAACTTAATTAGGTACGTGAGTAAAAGACACTAATCAAACCTTCTTAAACCTGAACTTCAAATACAAATACTACTAATACTAAAAGTAAATGTCGAGCGTACAGTTGTCGCTAGAGTATTGATTTCACATAAATCCCTCATATAAATCATGTTGTGTCCTAGACAACGACTCTGAAGACTGTAAATGACCTCTACTTGGTTTTATAACTAGAGTTAAACCTTTAAAACATGGTTCTCGTGATTTATTAGAAAAAAAAATAATACACAGAACCTTAAGTAGTTATACGAAATAAAATCTTATAAGGATTGAATGTGAATTGATGAAATAGTTTAAATTATATTTAAGGGCAAGAGTCCTTAAGTTATGAAAGGCATTTTCGTACAAACATTATGTTTAGACAACAATAGGTAATTAGCTAGGTGACATCGTTTTAAACCCTATCCAGTAGATAGTATAAGAAGGAGGAACAACTAGTTATTTTGCACTTGACGATAACTAGTTATTTTGCATTTGACGTTAAAACATTTGGATAATAAAATATATTGCTAACAAAATAACATGTTTTTTTGTGAATCCATTGTAGAGAAATTAAATGGGAGCTTCATACTAATTGCCCAGGCTACAATCGTGAACATTTTAAGAAATTTTTATTTACAGTAAGTCGTCAATGAACAACTTGTATCAAGTAACTAATGTCACTAGTAAATGAATACCATAAACAATAAAAAGGAGAAAAAAATATATTAAAAAGTAAGCGTTTAATATATTTAAATTATATTCACATTAGCAAGTAAATGTGGCTAGAAGGTGATGGGGCTAATATAGTATATTATAATTTTAGATATTTGTTTTTCTGAATTTACTCTTGAGTAAATATTAAGTGTTTTGTTTTATTAGTGCTTAATGTACTTATGTGTCGAACATCAAATTATAGACAAAAAACTAGAAAAAAAATTAATTGCAAGTTAAACTTGAATCGAGGCACTCGGATATCTATATAATACTTTTTCATGAAAAAATCGGAAGTATCAAAAGGAAGTTTAAAATCAAGTAATATGGTTATTAGCTCCAACATATTTTTTTTAAAGTTACAAAAAAAAGGCACGAACGTTATAAAAACATTATTACTTTTTAAAAACATTCAAAAATCTTAAAAAAAAGTTTATAAATGTGTGAAAGTATTTTTTATATGTTTAAAGATAACTTGTAAATATAGTAAAATAATAGCATTCGAAATTTGCATTATATATATATTTATTGTACGATTCGATCAATGTAAATACTTTAAATTTTGTAAGCAAAACGTAAATCTAAGTAGTTAACCTGTTTGCCCTTGCTTTGCCCGCAGCGAGGGATTTAAACGTGGATGAATTAATTCGTCTTTTGCAATCTGTAGATATATGAAATATATAACGCACGGTCAAAGAATAATGATGTATATATGTATTATGTGATAAGTAATTTTAATACGTTTTATATGAACTACTAATTTTTAAATTAATAAACATAATGGGTACATTATGTATCTATTAAAAAAATATATCTGTTTTTATGTCCTGCTTTCATAGATCTAAAAATTAAATAATTTGATTTTTTGTTATGAAAAATACATAAATAGTTATTTAATATGACGACTACATACATATGTTAAAACACCTACGTCGTGTCATAGTTTATAATCCTAATTATTATATACATGTGTCTGAATATATTTGATTTTATCGTTAAATATTTATTAAAATAAATAACGCACAATGTAATAAAATAAAATCTTTAAAAAGTAGAATTATTACAACAAATTATGTCTTCATATAAGTAACAAATAACTTAATACATTGTGGATATTGATTAATAAATGTTAAACAAAATCGCCTAAATATTTTTTCGTAATTACATAAACATAATAATTTTGTACACATTCAGACTATTTTAATTAACCATGCTTTAAGTGAGCATTAGCATGAAGCAAATTCAAAATAAAATGTAAAGCAGCTCTTATAATAAAATGAAATAAAGTCAAAGGACTTTCTGCGTACAGTCGTTGCTCTTTGCCGGAGGGTTCCCTCATTTTCCCTCCACCTCCAGTTCGTCTTTGTTTACGAGGGCGTTCGGCCGTTGCTCCGCGTGCTTGTGCCGAGCTTACATTTAAAAAATAAAACTTATTTGGCGCGAACGGTATACACAGCTACACCGCGTCTATTAAACAGTATGATTCATACTTTTATGTAATTTATTCGGCCGCGTTACGGGTGGTATAAAACAATAACGATAAATATTTTTAATTCGGTAACCTCGCGTTGTTTAAAAATAACCATCCGTGGCTAAAAATGTAAAGAGAGAAAAAAAAAGAAACATGGATTGGCGGGAAAAACTTTTCGGTCGTGTTCTTATCAAGTGCGATTCGTCGGGCACTCAGAATGGTAAATTTGAAACTGTTCAAACTTTAGAAGCGTTGTCCGATTGCGTGGAGGATGGCGAGGGAGCCGTCTGTGGTATTTATTTCTCATTCGCTAACATAAGTGACAAGAGTGATGATTTCGGGGTTCGTTTGGAGGAGATGTACAAGAAGGTTTTGCCAAGACTTAAGGTTGTTGAAGTAGTGCTGTGGGCCCACGTCGGAACTCCAGAAGGTCCTGTAGAAAGGGAAGCCGGATTCATAAGGAACCTGACAGGAAAATCATGGTTTGCTGTGCCATTTCACGATGTGGATATAAAGGTTTGTATCATACTTAATTTAAATTTATATTTTATACTTTAGTATTCTTTATTTTGAACGTGTTCTTACTTATATTTCAAATCACGAGAAACAAACATTTAACTAACAGACCATAAATTATTTATAAGCTAACATTACCAAACGAAATCAAAGTGAAGAATTTTGCGTAATTTTAATTGGAAAACATTATCATATATATTTTTTAATAATCCAATCACGTCTGTATAATAAATTCAACAAAGAAATAAATGTCATCTTGATTTATAATAATGTTTTGTCCCCCTTTAATCTGGGGGTTCTCGTTGCGTGGCTACAAATGATATCAACATTTTAATATGTTCGCTTCAATTTAATTGCTTTATCTGTTGTTCTAATATATTTAGTAGCACTGTTTTGTCCGCTTTTTTGTTTTCATCTGCGCTTTTTTTTAATATATATTTTTATATTCATTTCAATCAATCAGGAAATTTATGTTATATAAATCCTAATTATATACGATCATTGCGAAAGTTTGCGATGCTATGCCACATTTTGCAATGCGAATATTAGCAAAAATATATCTAAATTCTAATTTATACATTTAATTAACGCCAGAGAAGAGACTATTCGCTTTCTTTACCGAAGAAGATAGAGTCGACGCTTCTAAAACCTTGAGAAATAATCATGATAAATTGGATTTTTTATGTATATTTGTGTGTTTATTTGGTCGTGCAAAAGCTATTACTACTGTGATCAAAAATTCGTCGCCATGAGCAATAATCGAACCTTGGCCCTTCGGAATGATTCGGGATTCCGGGGATTGCTGGTTCAAATCCTGCTTGTTTTTATGAATTTCTCATTTTATTTTATCTATTTGAATAACAATTCATGTACTCAACTTATGTATCAGGTTGTACGGGAAGCGAAAGCCCTAACAAGCACTTTTAATTTTTTTTTATTCTGTGACTACTACCTAAAACTTGTTGTTCTGATAATACTCTTAGCTTATTCAAAGCTAACTAACGATTATACAGTAAATAGGCGCAATTATTGTCTAATAATTTAATTGCATAAAAATACTGACTGAAAACAAAATTAAATATATGGGCAATTACTATTTAATATTTATATCTATTAAAAATTATACTTATTCAAATATAAAGTATGTAATTATTTAGTTTAGGAAAAAAATAAAAACTACCAAAACACAAACATGTTCTTCCTAACTAAAATCAAATTCCATCAAGTCGATCTATTAAATTAAAATATTTATTGTGTAAAGTATACATTTATTAATTAAGGCCAGTAATAATACAATTTATAAGATACTTATAAAAATATATAGGATTACAAATAAACCTACTATAAAACAGTAGGTAAATAGAAACAAAACACAAAGCGTATACCGGTTCAGCAATCACAATTACACATTTAAACGAAAATGAAGTAAAACAGATGTACATTTTAACTAAGCTTTTCCTACAAAGAAAAACACACCCCAACCAGAAAAATAACAGGACTTTAAGAGCGTTTTAAAACTTAAAACATAAAATAACTTAGCAAGTTATGATTTCCTACAGTCTAAACAGTTTTCTTTTTACGACCCCATAATACCGATAAGAGCGGGGTGTTTGCACCAACGTAAATTGATCCCACCCCACAGTTCCATAGCGACTGAGTGCAGCCATAAAATTGTCATAAGCTTAGCGCGTTTCCTTTATAACGGTCATGCGACGCCTTACTTTTAGTAATTAGGATTTAGGCTGAGGCTCTGAATAAAACATATAATATAGACAGTTACAAAGCTAATAAAGCTTTATGGGAGTGAATAAAAAAAAAAACAAAGTTAAATTTCATTCAAAAGTTCGTCAACAATGGCTGGAATGTAAAAAAAACTTCGTAATTGGATACAATAGTTGCGAATTTCAATGAGATTTTTGTAATAATATGCTTTATTTTTACGAAAGATACTTTTGAAAACTACAGCTTTTTTAATTAAACATGGGCTGTTTGTCCTGTTCAGTTTGTACAGAAGCGAATACATATTGATTTTATCAAAGCTAGATGGGTATCAAAGGACATCGCGATATCAACAAAAACCCAATAACACTGTTTAAATCTACACAGTCTGCAACGTCTCTGTTGGCTTTGGAAAGAATACCAGCTTTTAATTTAAAAAAGATACCTATCCTTACTTTCCGTCTGAAAATTCACTGTCCAAATGATTGAATGAATGATTTGATAGCAGATACAGAATTATTAATGCAAAAACAACAATATAAATCGTTAGAATATTGTTAATAAAATACTGAAATGTACAAAATCAACTTTGAACGCCAGTTTTGAATGTATAATTTCGATTTTTATTTGCTATGCGGGGGGTCATCGTCAATAGATATTAAAATTTTATGAACCCATACACGGGGTGTCTGGCTCCTGCACGCATGTGCAAAACGATCAAATAGAATATTAAAAATATGACCAATGATGTGATTTGATATAAATTAATCTGAAAAAAAAAATGTGACCAATGATGAGAATTTAAATAAATTAATCTGATTCTTTAACTTGTTAAACAACTAAGAGACACATAACATAAAGAAACAATGTATGTTTACTTTAAACTTTATTTTATTATTCATACTTCTAACAAGATTATTGAACTAGCTCCTGCAGATTAGTCCGCAGTCTCGGAAAACATACAACTGCATAATAGATAGTCAGTAAATTGTACATATACATACATGTATATTAGTTTGTGTCATTCCACTGTTAACGCTTCTTTACTGTAGTCATAAAAATCTACCATGTAGATTTTGCTCTAAGAGTTGAATTTATAATAATAGCACCATTTAAAAAACTTCTAAATATTTACCCACCAATCATTTTTATACAAATATTTAAATAACAATGCAGACACGTAAACAGTTATTTAATAATAGTATTTACCAGTTTCAAGTTGGAAATTATCTTATAATTCCTTCTATTATATAAATAGAATACAGAGTGGGCGTAAGCCGACGTGCCAGGCAAACAATGGCTGGCTAGTCTCTTTTTATCCGCCTCCAGCCATGAAATGGGGGAAGGTTGTGTTTTTAACCTGAACGTGTATATGTATGAGCGTGTTAATATTTTCGTTCGTAATTGGAAATCGTGTTTACCGATTTAATCTAAATTTACATAGTTGTCTAGTTCGTTGTGTTACGCAAGCTTCACGGGGTGAATAAAAAAATGATGATGTTCATATATGAAGTTTAACATTTTTATATTTTTAAAATCATTAATATAAACAAATTCAGGACACTGTTGCTTGATACGCCTTATAAAAATATTAATATATATTTAAATAGGATTGGCAGTTGAATGTTCATAATTATATTTATAATCATTGGTATTTGAATGAGCAAAAAATTATTTTAATTTCTAACTTTTATACTCTTTTTCATTTTTGTACAGGTAACTTGTTCCTGACTTATATACATATTTTACGATTCTTGCGCAATACGTAATCTGTTGGCCAAGTATTCAGCGGACTTTGCTTTGAGAAACTTCCCCAAGTCACATTTCTAATAGGTACCCATTACACCAGAAGTTCCGCAAGGCTATGACCTCTTTACTGCCTATTTAACCTCGTAATTCATGTATTTCTATTGTCAGCTTCTTTTTGGGGACATCTCAGATCCACAAATCAATATTTTTAGCACACAATCCATACTTGGCCTATGATATATTGTGATTTTGCTTGATAAAGGAATTGCTACTCCTCCACATCTGAAAATAATCATAGTTTCCAAATTAAGTGCTGGAAATCTTAAGATACATTTCCTACTCTTTATGTTTTTTTCAAAATTACTACTACCAGAGACTCTTTTAATATTTTTGAATGGTGTCTTACAATTAGCATTAACTGGTCGATTTTGTTATTTCAATAGTCTCATAAAGTCCAAAGCGTGGAAGACTATCAAATGCAGAAAAAAGGAGCATTAGAAAAATAACATTATATCGTCGTGGTCCTCCCTGAAACTGGAGGCGTCTGGAAACTTGATCCTGAATGCAGAATTTCTATAGGATCATGGCTTTATATACAAATACGTCGCTACTTCAATGAACTGTTGCTTTATTTGGATGATTAGAGTGACTTTAGTACAAGCCAAGTCTTAATCGAATTGAAAGCTTCTCTATATTTCACAATAGTCATATAGTTTCGTCTGATCGTTCTGTGTAACCAGACGTATATTATGTATCTGGCCTGAAAAACTAAAGCCTTTTCGTAAAACCTGTGCTCGAGACGGTTCGTAATGACTCTCGAAAACAGCTCGTAGATGTGGCAGAGAAACGAGATGGATTTTTAATTCTACAATAGAGCATTATTTCGCTTCTTCACAAAAAACAGCACTACGATACCGTCTTGTGCTTTGGACGTGTGGCGTTGAGAACTCATTGTTTTTTAAGACGAATATTCATAGATAGGTTCATTCAACGATACGATTTAAAATATATCGAGAATGTACCATACGTCATGGATACAACCATAATGCTTAAAATACCAAAACACTTAATTATTATTTCTTAAAATACACTTAATTATTATCTTTTATTATTCAATATTAGGCGAAATTTATGGCCGTCTAGTTTTCAATTATAATATTAGACAGTCGTGTCATATAAATAATCTTGAGTTATTATTCATACGATAACTTTCATAAATTAAAGTTAGTTATAAGCTTTAAGATATTTTATTATTAAAATGTCTTGAGCAATTGAATACGAATCGAATATTAACAATTATTATATTATATATTTATTTATGTATATTTTACTAATCTTGGGTTTTAAACTATTTATCTATTTTAATAGTTCATAACAGAGACAAGTATTGTGTCATATAAGCAGAAAGCTTTTACCGCCGTTGGACATAAAAGAATACAGAGCACTCACTAACATATTATGCAAATGACGATTTCTTTCTAGTCTATCTGTACATACTACCAGAGCTTAGCGTCCACATCAACCTCATGAAT